CCTGTCCTGGTGCAGGGGGTTATTCCTCCCCAGGTGCAGCACCCTACACTTGCCTTTGTTGAAGTTCATCAGGTTCCTCTCTGCCCAACTCTCCAGCCTGTCCAGGTCTCACTGGATGGTGGCACAGCCTTCTGGGGTGTCAGCCACCCTTCCCAGTTTTGTATCATCAGCAAACTTGCTGAGGGGACATTCCATCCCTTCATCCAGGCCAATGAGGAATATATTGAAGAGGACTGGGCCCAGTACTGAGTGTGGAAAGCAGGGAGATGCTGCCAGCGCAGGATCTGGCCCTCCTCTTACCATCTCCTCTGTGTCTGTGCTCTCCTCCTCTTCCTCCTCCTCGGCGCTGTCGATGTTGCGCAGGTCGCTGTGCCCATCAGCTCCCGTCCCCTCCTTCCCCCGGGCCTCCCGTGACCCCTCTCCCGCTGGGGACGGTGACTCTGCCCCCGTCTCTGCCCTCTTCTTCTCGCTCTCCTTGGGCCCTGCGAGGACAGAGAAATTTGGGGCACCCGTGCAAACGTCAGCCCTGTCCTTGCAGGGTCCCCTTGTGCCAGCCTGGGGAAAGGGGAGGATGCAGGGAATTTGCCCAGTTGGCTCTGGATGCCCACTCTGGATGTCCCGGGCGTGCGGGGAGGGATCCCCCACTCCCGGATTGGGGGCCAGGCTCACATGCACCCCCAGGCAGGGACATGCAGGTGTCAGAGGGTCTGTGGCCTGTCCCCTCACCTTCCAGACGTTCTCTCCGCTGGTCCATGCGGTCCAGGCTCTCCAGCAGACTGTCCACCCGCGCCTTGATCTGGCTCAGCTCCCCCTTGATGGAGTGCAGCTCTTCAGCTCCCACTGCAGGGAGAGGAGCTGGTTGTTAGGATCCCACCCTGCCCTATGGCCTGCCTGGAGCTGGGGGAACACGCCTTCCTGGGCATCCTCCCTGTTGGAGCATCCTCTCCTTCAGAGAGTCCTCTCCTCCAGAGCATCCTCTCCTCCAGAGCATCCTCCCCTCCAGAACATCCTCCCTTCCAGAGCATCCTCTCCTTCAGAACATCCTCACTCCAGAGCATCCTCTCCTTCAGAGCATCCTCCCCTCCAGAATATCATACCTCTGGAGCATCCTCTCCTCCAGAGCATACTCCCCTCCAGAACATCCTCTCCTCCAGAGCATCCTCTCCTCCAGAACATCCTCACTCCAGAACATCCTCCCCTCTGGAGCATCCTCTCCTCCAGAGCCCCCTCCCCTCTGGACCATCCTCCCCTTCAGACCATCCTCCCTCCAGACCATCCCCAGGGCACAGGGAGGGGTCTGGGGGATAGGCACCAGCCCGTTGCAGTCCAGGCTGTGTCTGCTGGAGCTGAGGACTCGTAGCCACAGGGCCAGCACCAAGAGGGACCTTTGGGCAGCAGCACAGCTCTAACACAGCGAGAGGCAAGGGCGTCCTCTTCCTCCCAGCCCCGTGGCACTTACGCTTCGTCCGTCCCACCGCGGAGCTGCTGCTGCTCCTGGCCCCGGGCTGGGGGCTCAGGCTGCTTTTGCTTCTTGCCCCCACGTGACTTCTTCTGGCCTTGACCGGGATGCGGTTAATGAGGGGGGGGATCTTCTGGTACTCGTACACCCTGCAGGGACACAGCAGCGTGAATGCAACCTCGGAGGTGTCACAGCAGCTCCTGCCAGCCAGGAGAGCATCTCCTGGGGGTCCCTGGGACCCCCAACCTGAGCATTGCCTGGCCCACACACTGCTCCTGCCCCATGTACCCCCTCCCCAAGCCCCCCAACCTGGGCAAACTGCAGCATTTGTGCCCCTTGAAGTGGGGGGAAACACCACCCAGCCTCTCCCAGAGGTGAGGGGATGGTTGCCCAGGGCCACCCCACTTTTTGCCCTGGGCAGAGGCACTCTCAGCCCACCCCGCTCCCGGGATGCCGCGCTCACCGGTACGGGAAGTCGTCCCTGTAGAGGTCGTAGTCCAGGTCACAGTTACTGCTGCAGGAGAGGAGAACAAGTCACCCGCTCTGCCATGGCCATCCATGGCCACAGATGCCATGAGGACACCCACCGACCTCCACCCCCATCCCCAGGGAGCGGGAGGCATCCCAGAGGGCACCACACGGGCTGCCTGGGCTGCAGCAGGGACCAAGGAGGTGGCTGTGTCCTGGCAGGGGCAAAGAAAGGTGTTGGGGACAATGGAGAGACTTTCCCCCCAACCAGGGCAGCACCAGCAGGTTCTGCTCTCAGGAAAAGTGCATTTAGAGCTCCCTGATGTGAAATGTCACAGTCCCTGGCTCTGAGCACACGCTGTTGGCTCGCCTGGCTCCAAATTAAGAAGTGATCTGTCAAGGGATCGCCTCCAGCACGGGCAGCTGACGTGCCCCTAATAAATCACGTACTGTGGACCAGGAGCCGGGTCTGGGGGTGGGGGGGAGAAGAAGGAGGAGGAGGAGGAGGAAAGATGCTGAAGCTCATTTTGCTGCTTCAGCTCGTGTGGAGTCGGGCGTAGGATTAAGTTTAATCCGAGGGGAAACAAAGCCATGCTCAGAGCATCGCTGGGAGCGGGGAGCCCTCCCAGCCACGCTGCTGGGAACGGGGGGCAAGGGGAGGGCAGGACAAGGTCCTCCAGGGCTCCGGGTTTGGCTGCAGATGACCCTTTTGCTGCAGGACTGAGGCTGGAGCTCCGGGAGAGCTCCTTGACCCAGCAGGTCAAGGGAGGTCATTCTGCCCCTCTGCTCTGCACTGGGGAGGCCACAACTGGAATCCTGCCTCCAGTTCTGGGCTCCCCAGTTCAAGAGGGACAGGGAACTGCTGGAGAGAGTCCAGCGTAGGGCTACAAAGATGATTCAAGGGTTGGAGCATCTCCCTTATGAGGAGAGACTGAGAGAGCTGGGACTCTTTAGTCTGGAGAAGAGAAGGCTGAGGGGAGACGTTATTAATGCTGACAAGTATCTCAAGGGCGGGCTGAGGGAGGAGGGAACCAGACTCTTTTCAGTAGTTGCCAGTGAGAGGACAAGGGGCAATGGGCACAAGCTGGAACATAAAGGGTTCCACTTGAATATGAGGAAGAACTTTTTCACAGTGAGGGTGACAGAACCCTGGCAGAGGCTGCCCAGGGAGGGTGTGGAGTCCCCTTCTCTGGAGATTTTCAAGACCCACCTGGATGCTCCTGAGTGATGTGCTCTGGGCAATCCTGCTTTGGCAGGGGAGTTGGACTAGATGATCTCTATGGTCTCTTCCAACTCTAAAAATTCAGTGAAATTCAGTGAAAGTCTGCTGGGACGGGGCTAATGGGCAACCTGTGCTGCCCTGCTTGGGGCTACCAAGCCTGAGCCAGGCTTGCCCAGCCCAGAAGGCAGCTCGGAGCTTGTCACGGGGTGAAGACAACTCTGGCCCTGCTCCCACCCTGCCCTATTCAAGAATAATCCCCATGGGACACAGCCTATGAGCACCAGCCCTCCTGGAAAGGGGAAACAGAAAGTCCTCCTGGAGCCCCCGGGTGCCAGGACCCCCCTGTTCTTTGCCCCTTGGGGATATTTTGGGAGATTTCAGTCCTGCTGCCTCCCAAGCTTCCATCGCTGTGATGGGGATGGTGAGTCCTTTGCATCCCTGCCTCCCTGGGAGGAAGGTCACAACCTGCCTTGGGGAATGAGCAGCCAGAGAGAGAGGAGTCCCAACCCTGGCGTGGGACACAGGGAAGGTGCCAGCTCCTGGTGTGGCAGGTGCTGCTGCCCGGAGCCACTGCTGAGATGGATGGGGATGTCCCAGGCCACCTCCTGCCATGGCACCACCGGTGGCTTTGCAGAAGACTTGGTCTTGGGGTCTGGCACCCAGCTGGGGACACGGCAAGGGTTTTCCTGGCTCAGCTTTTTGCTCAGAGCATCCCCTGGGAAGAGCCAAAGCGGCGGCTGCCACGCTCCAGCAGCCCGGTGGGGCCGGCGGTCCCTGCCCTGCCAGCGCTGCGTCCCTCTGGCGCCATGGCAACGGGCAGAGCAATTAGTTCAATCAGGCTGTTCGCAAAAAGCTCTCTAACGAGACAGACGGGAGCCTGGCTCCGGTGCCCTCCTTGCCTCTCGCCTGCAGAGCCAGGGAGCCAAAAGCAGGCAGGGATGGGAACCTGCTCTCCTGCTACCATCGGTGCCACCATCACCATCACCAGGTCCATCACCACCCCAGTGGAACCCAGCGAGGCGTCCGGTTGCCACCAGTGCGGCCGGGGGCAATGCTCTGAGAGCACCATGGGGATGGGACAGGGACATCCCCCCGACCCGTCTCCACCACCCTGGGCAGGCAGCCAGAATAGCCTGAGGAGCGAGCAACGGAGAGCAGGGGGAGGAAGAAGAAGAGCCAGGCATGGGACAGCCCCCAGCCCAAACTGTCCCCCCACCCCTGGCGCAGCCCCCGTCCCGCGAGCAGCACTCACTGGTACAGGCTGCTGCCGTGCTGCCGCTTCTGGCCCAGCCTGGCCCGGCTCGGCTTGGGTTCCCTGGCCATGTCCAGATCTGAGGGGAGAGAGAGAGGAGGGGAATGAGCCCTGGGAAGGAAAGGGGAAGGGCTTTTTCACCCCACCCCACGCAGAGGTCTCTCTGGCACCGGCTTCCCGAAGGCTCCTGGCCATGCTCCTCACCCAGCTGGAGATGTCCCGCTCTAGAGCAGCCACAGGCTGAGCCCAAGGTTGGCTGCTCTCTCCAGATTTAAGTTCTGGGGGAAGGACAGACATTGGAATGGGCTGCCCAGGGAGGTGGTTGAGGCACCACCCCTGGAGGTGTTCAAAAGACAGGTTGATGAAGTGCTGGGAGGTATGGTTTAGTGATGATGCTTCTTGTTTGTTGTGGGGGTGTCTAATTTTTGTCAGTGAGGTTGACGGTTGGACAAGATGATCTTTGAGGTCCCTTCCAACCTAGAAGATTCTGTGATTCTGTGACAGGAGCAGCCCAGGGTTGTGCCAGGACACGGAGTGGCTCCTGCTGTCCCTGCAGCAGCCCCTTCCCGCGGTGCCCCGTCCCCAGGAGCCTGCGCCCAGCCAAGACCAGGCAGGCTCCAATTAGGACAGCAGAAAGCACCTCTGACGATGAGGGTAATTAACCACCAGAGACATTGCCCACCACCACAGTGAATCCACCACTTCTCAGGGAGTCCAGGGATGCTGTTGTGTGTTGCCCACCACGGGTGGGCGCCGGGGATGGGGGAAGCCCTGCCCGCAGCCCCTTCGTGCTCCAAAAGGCTGCCGAGGGGCACGCGATGCCGAGGTGTGGGGTGGAGATGTCTCCAGACACATGGCTCGGCGATGCCACGTCACCCTCCCTGGTGATGCTCTTCACCCCTTCTTTAGGATTTCACAGCCAACATCTGTAGAAAAGCCATCTTGACTCTATTTTCTGGGTACATACTTGAGATCCACCAAGGCAAAGCTTTACTAACATCTCCGTATATTTAATTTTATCATTCCGGTGGGAGAGATGTTGAGGTCTTCCTCTTGCGTGCTCCCCCTTGGCCATGGTAAGCGTGACCAGCCTGTCCCACAGGTGACATTGTGGATGCCAACGCAGCGGACAACCCCGACCTGAAGCTTCCTGAGTCCTCTGGGAACACACCAGCTCCTCAGAGAGGTCTAGACCTCCCCAGGAGGAGCGTGGACACTGGCCACGGGTCCCTTCCAGCCCCCGCATCCAACAGAGCAAGGTCCCCCCACCCCCGCAGAGGAGAGGGCTTCTGAGCAAGGTCTGAGCAGAAGGAAAGAGGCACTTGGAAACACACCTTGTGTGACGAACTCTGCGGGTTGGCTCTGACCTCGGGGTGAGCTGGGGAAGGTGGTGCCCCTCATGTAGGGGCTGGCACCCATTTTCCGTGGGCACAGCCAACATCCCCAGGGACGGCCGAGACCCCCCGGGATGAGACCCCCCATTTCAGCATCCCTCTCTCCAGCCCATCACTCCCAGTTGGCAGAGCCACCCGCTCCCCTCCCTGCCAGCGGGACGGAGACCTCCCCCCCCCCCCAACCAGGGACCCCCAGCCATGGCCAGGGACCCCACCACATGCCACCTGCACGGAGGGGACTGTCCTGTTGGGGCAGGGGACCCGGGCCAGCAGGGCTCCATCACCTCGGGGCCACCAGCCCTGCGTCTGGGCTCCCTTCTCCCCCCGCAGCAGCAAGGGCAGCCCCGTACTGGGAGAACTGGGGGTCCTGGGGGTATAATTGTTGGGGGGGAGAAACAGAATGGGGAGGGGGGGTAATGGTGTGGGGGGCATCCTGGTGCTGGAAGGACATCCCTGTCCTGGG